AGCCACAGAGGGACTGGACACTGGGACAGCCCACTGGCCCTGAGGTAGGCCAGCCCAGCCAGCCCTCTGGAACACCGCCCATGCTTGCCACTCTCTGGTCATTTCCAGTGCAGCTCTGGGAGCTGACTCTTTACAAATGGTCTCCGAATGGTCCACGTCCTTTCAATTCTATTTGCCAAGGACGATGCAGACCAGCTCCAGACTCTCTGAAAAGATCTTACTTTATTATCCTTGTCCGGTCCAGCAGAGTCAAAAAAGGAACAGACAAGTGGGGAAATACTTTCTCTCCAACCTCTGCAACCGGCTTGGAGGAAGCCCTCTTTCTGTGTGTCCCCCACTATGGTGGGGGCATGACTGGGCCTTGCAGGGACCTGCTGGCCACTGGACTGTCGGCTTCTTAGGAATGGATGGTTAAAGGTGAATTTTCGAATGCATTTGCTTGATGTGTCAGAAACTCGCCTGTGTTTAGAATGTGCTAGTGCAGCACATGTGAACAGGGAAAGATTCTAAACTATTCCCGAGCTTTGTGATCCCCTTTCCAGAATCACACAGTGAAGTTGTACAATATACACATTCACTTTACACTCTGTGTGTGAGAGGGGATGAGGAGTGGGTACGTGAGACTCAAGTACCGTTATCACTCAGCCACTTCTCCATCTCTACAGACACTTATTTGAATGGTAGCTCCAAACAGAACACAAGACCGCCTTTGGATGGAGCCAGGAACCCGCAGGTCCGTGCCTAAACTGCTCACGCCTGAGCTAATTTCAATCCACCACCACCCCGGCCCCTTGAGTTACTGCAGCTTATGGGTCAGCTTTTGCCTCTCAGGTCACCATGCAGTCTCTGACCACAGCACATCTGTATTACACATCTGTACATGTGCGCACAGCCTTCTCTGTGTCCTTCCTAACAACGACCACCATGGAGAGTCTCGCTTGTCTTCAGCAGCTGCGTGTCTGACTTCTTCAATCACCCACCACCTCCATGAACACTGAGGCCAGGCAGGTTTTGCTTACCATGGCTTCCCCAGGACCTGGCACAGCACCTGGCACGCAGGCGGTGATTAATAGTTGCTTTAAAATACCATGAAATTTTATCGAGAGTGGAAAGATTTAGCAGCATCACTGGATCATTAGTGGATCATCTAAAAAAATTATTCACCTCAAGGCTGAGGAATAGAAAGGCTTGAGGAATGATCAGACGATACAGGAATAATTCTGTTGTTCTTTGGGTTATAAGTTGACTTTGGAGACAATTTCATTAAGTTTGACTTAGAAGTTAAGGGCATTGACTTGGATATCTACAACAATGATCAGAAATTTTATTTAGCCGGTGGTGGCAAATGCCTTTGATCCCAGCACTCTGGGAGGCAGAAGCTGGCAGATCTCTGAGTTCAAGGCCAGCCTGGTCTACAGAGTGAGTTCCAGGACAGCCAAGACTACACAGACAAACCTTGTCTTAAAAAAACAAAACAAAAAATAACTTTTAAAATAGAGTAACAGTTCATTGTAGGAAGGGTTTGTGGAAAAAGCTAGGCCAAATTAAAATGGAAAAAGTACCACTTCCTTTGCCAGACACAGAAGTACACATTCTATATAAAAATCTTTCCCCTTATTCTCCATGTGTCCTTACTACCTCAGTTTACAGGTAAGGAAGCTATGAGTGAGAGGCTGTATATACCCAGTGATAAGCTACATACAGTGAGTGAGAGGCTGTACACACAGTGAGAGGCTGTACACACAGTGAGAGGCTGTACACACAGTGAGAGAGAGACTGTATACACAGTAAGTGAGAGGCTGTACACACAGTGAGAGGCTGTACAGTGAGTGAGAGGCTGTACACACAACACAGTGAGAGGCTGTACACACAGTGAGTGAGGCTGTACACACAGTGAGAGGCTGTACACACAGTGAGAGACTGTACACACAGAGTGAGAGGCTGTATACCCAGGGAGTGACAGATTCAGAATTCCTGTGTATGTCTATCTATGCTGTGTTTTTAATCTAAGAAACACATGCTGGCATTGAGGAAATAATACATTGCTAAGCTTGGTGCCGTGGTACATGCCTTCAATCTGTGTATTCAGAAGACAGGCAGGCAGATCTCTGCGAGTTCAAGGCCAGCCTTCTCTACAGAGAATTCTAAGACAGCCAGAGCTACATACAGAGACCCTGTCTCAACAAATAACAACAAACAATGCTTCTGCCACTCAAACACCCATCTCCCTTCTATGACAAGGTATGATCCAACACTATGATAACCACCAACTGGGGCAAATACTCAAATATTTAAAATAAGATTTGAAACCAATGATGTGTCATCTTGGGACTAGTTCATAGAGAAGAAATACATAGACTATAAAGACATTTATTGAAAACAAGTTGACACATACATACTATGTTAACTGTTTGTTTTGAGACTATGTATCTATCCCTGACTGCCCTGGAATAGAGATCTGCATAGCGCTGAGTGCTGGGAATAAAGGCACATGCCACCACACCCAGCAGATCTTAAAATTTTTATAGAATTTTTAAGATTGAAAGTATACATTAAACATGTTAGGCCAGGTATGATAGCACATGCCTTTTATCCCAGCACTTGGGAGGCAGAGGCAAACTAATCTCTGTGAGTTCAAGGCCAGCCTGGTCTACATAGTAAGTTCCAGACCAATCAGGATTACACAGTAAGATAATATCTCTAAAAAAAAAAAAAAAACTAAGATCCTTAAGAATCTTGTAAGACAAATTGCTAGATGATCTTATTAATTTAAAAAAAAAAAAAACAAACCTGGAGTCAAATATTGGGGTGATAGCTGAGAGATCAGAGAGACAGAACAAGCCACAGCCAACCTCCCCTCAACAACTCCTCTGCACATCCTGTTTCCATGAATCCTCAGACTGGAAGCCTGAGTCCTTACCCCTGAGGGTCTTAGTTGAACTGCTGCTAAAAGCCTAAAAGCTTAACCAGCTCTAGTTCCTGGTCCTCTCACCTTACATACCTTTCTGCTTCCTGCCATCACTTCCTGGGATAAAGGCGTGTGTCCTTCCCAAGCAAAGACATGATATCTCAAGTGCTGGGATTAAAGGCCTGTGCCACCACGCCTGGCTCTGTTCCCCAGTGTGGCCTTGAACTCCTCTGCCTCCCCAGTGATTGGATTAAAGGTGTGTGTGCCACCATTCTGCCTCTATGTCTAATCAAGCGGCTGTTCTGTTCTCTGACCCCAGGTAAGTCTATTAGGGTGCACAATATTTTGAGGGGCACAATGTATCACCACAGAATCTCTTAATAAGACGGACTGAAACAGTGGTCAGACCCCTTGCAGATGCAGCTGCCCTGCCTCTGTGTTCCCCACCCCAGACCTCCCACAGCAGTGGGAGGGAAGACAAGAGTACAGGCCTGCACAGCAGCAGAAATAACAAGAGACTCTCAAAAACTATGGATGAAAACATGGCTCGTGGAAGCTGTCCTCTGACCCTATAGTGGACAGCTGTTCTATGACCTTGAAGCACCACCCCTAGAGATGCAGCAGGTAACTGTCCGACCTACCTATGACCTTGAATCTGCCCCTGGGGTGTGGCTCGGGCAACTCTTAAGGTCTGAGGTGCATGTACTCAGGCCCCTTCACACCCTCATGGGCTTGGATGCTAAGGTGGACTCAGGCAGACGAACAGCGTGGGACTGTGTATCGGCCTTCCAGGACCCTACCATAAATCTCTCCTGTAGTGAGCTTTCTTCCCTAATAAATTCCTTTTACCCCTTAAACAGACTCCTGTGGATTTCTCGAATTAGACCCTCCACCCCTCCCTCACACAAATAAAAATGAAAAAAAATTAAAAAGCAAAGAAACATGAGGTGCACAGTGATTACAGTGTTCAGATACTCAGATACTTGCCATCCCCATTTTTCCTAAGCGAGTGAAACATCCTGCACTGTGTGCCTGGGACTAACTCTGGCCAGAAGCGGCGATGATGGGCACTATGTTCTAGGCAATGAGATGTCGTATTTGGGAGATCCCAACACGTTTTCTCATGAGACTGCAAGCTGATGCCTTTCCCCTCCTCTTCCAATCCTTCCTTCTGCCACTCGGAAGTAGGTTGTAGCAACGAAAGCTTCACCTTGGACCATAAGGGTGAAGCCTCGTGACACTATGTATGGTAGAGCCAATACATGGAATCAATCTTCCCAAAAGACAACAGAGCCATCATATTCCTCTTGCTTGTCGATCCATAACTTTTTTTTTGGGGGGGGGGGTGGTGGTGGTGGCAGGTCAGGGATGAGACAAGGTCTTACTATGTGGCCCAGGCTGGATCAGCATTCACTAAGTAGCCCAGGCTGCCTTGGATTTGTAGCAATCCTGTGCTGGTGTCCCAAATACTGGGATTACAAGCATTGTCATTGTGCCTAGCTGTCTATTAACTCTTTTTCTTGGATGTGGAAGGGAAACAAACATCACTTTGTATAGGGCGTTGTTTTGTGATCTCTGCCTGGGAGATAATCTTAACTAAGCCAGAAACTCATCCAAAGTGAAGATGGCAAAGGTCAGATCAAGTTCACTGGCACACAAGGTTCACGCCTAAGAGTGAGGGAATGTTGCAAAAAGCTGAGACAACATTCGAAGAGAGAAAGGGAGGAAGTTCAGATGTACCCTTAAGCTTGCACACTCAGAATTAAGGACGATGATACGTAACAGCAAAGAACTCAGTCTCCACCAGAGATCTGCAAAACAGATCTCCCTTAACCTGTGTGGAGCTGGAAATGAGAAAAATAACGATGCATGAGCAGCAACATGGAGAGGCGCCCTGGAGAGGTGGATCAGACAGGAAAGAACTGGAAAGTGGTCTGAATTCAAAGAAGCAATAGATGCGGTTCAAATAGGCAGTCTAGAAAGGGACAAGGAGAGTCATGTGACCCACATCAAAGGCAGTATGAAGGTCAAAAGTGAAAAGGTCAAGGTGGAAGCTGGACACCCATTTTTATTCCCTTTTCTTTCACAACAGCACTGAAGGCGAAAACTTAAAATGTGTTGCAAGTGAGGAGAAGTCTGAAGAAAGGGAAATCTCGGAAGAGGGGGTTCACTGTTACACTGTTACCTTGCTGTGCAATTTCTAAAGGAATAGCGAAGATTTGAGCATGGAGATGTCAGCGGAGTAAGTCCAATCACCCCCCCCCCCCAGGCAGGGTAGTTTTGCACCTGTCCTGTAGACCAGGCTGGCCTCGAACTCACAAAGATCCGCCTGCCTCTGCCTCCTGAGTGCTGGGATTAAAGGCATGCGCCACCACCGCCCAAGTCCAATCTTATTTAAGACCAATCTTAATGATCCAGAAAAAGAAAAACAGGTTATGTCTGGCACAGGTATTGTTTTGCAGAGAAAACTAAATCAATGCAGGTGTGAAGGGCGCTTAGACAATGCAGTTGAGGGCCCGGAGATATATAGCCCAGCAGGTAAACACAGCTGCAGTGGCAGCCTGACACTGGAGTTCATTCCCTGGAACTCACCCCCCAAAGATGTCCTCTGACCTCCATATGTGTGTTGCAGCCCGCAGGAGCCTTCACACACACACACACACACACACACACACACACACACACACACACACACCACACCTACAGTAACAATACATAACTTTTTTAAAAAAAGAAAATACAGTTATGACATAGGTCCAATGTAGTAAGAAGGCTGTAAATATGAAAACGGTCAGGACATGGAGCGGGAGGCAATTCACAACTGCTTTAGGAAATTCTATACCGCACTGGGGTTTCCTTGGTTCCTCCAGGTGACCACAGAACCAATCTGCTTGCCGGGACACCAGTGGAGAACATGCTCTGTAACAAGCCAAGCAACCATGCACCAGTGTGGAGAGACAACAGAATCAGAACACATCCGGGGGCAACAGAGGGATGCTGGGAGACAGAAGAAAATGGAAGTTCAACCTGAGAGACTAAACAAAAATCAGGCATGGGATCTGCATGGGTGGTTAAAAGTGACACAAAATATTCCTACATGAAAATTTCAAGGAAAGTTTACAAGTTAAAATTTTCTAAAGAAAGAATCGTAAGGTTTTAAAGAACTTTCCCCGTTCAAATTCAGAAAACATGCTTCAAAGAAAAGTGCCGCGTCACTGAGGGCGAATACCCACGTGGTCACCTAAAACACGTTAGGTCACCTGGTGTCCTTTCCACATTTTATGGCTTAGAGCTTTGTTTATTTTAATTCATGTTGATGTTTTCATTCTGAGGATTCTGGAAATTAAAGCAGCAATGGGGAATCGTGGTGGGGATGGCCGGCGGGCTTAAAAACAAATCTCAACACGTCAAACGCCATCGCTTGCACTGTGAACACCTGTATTTGAGGTTCATGTTGGAACAACCTCCAGAAAAGAAAAAAAAAAAAAAGAAAGAAAGAAAGTTTCAAAGAACACTCAGCCTAATTCTAACACGAAGATTGCGTTCCTCCCGCTTTGGAAACTCGGCATAAGAAAATCGGCGTGACTCAAGGTGTGCTCATTGAGAGCTCTGCTTCCCCAACGCCCAAGTTCTAGCTCACAGCAGCATCAGACATGTTAGGGCTTAAGGTTTTAAATCTCACAGGCCCGATTACCTGGGGGATTAACTGTCATTTCTTATTCAAGAGTGGACCTGCTCACTTAGGAGAGCTCGGGGCAAAAGAAAGTGACTTGGCATCCAAGACTCAACATTTTGGGTTCTGAGTTTGTGCATGTGACCTACTGGAGCTGTTATATTGCACTTTTCCATACACACTCCAGCCCTAGATTTAGGCTTAGAACACAGCTGTCCAGTAAAACCGCGCACTGTTATTGTTACTATTATCATTACTCTATGCAACAGTAGTAGTACTTTGGGGGGCGATGAACCCTCAGCCCTGACCCTGCTGAGCCCCTCGGAGTCACACTCCCAGTCTCTCATTTCTTCTTGATATACACCGAACAAATGACCTAAATTGGTCTTACATCTACCATTTTTAAAACTTTCATTCTTACCTTTATATAGCAGATATATTTTTTTTTTCTGTTTTCAGGCAAGGTAGAATGTATTCAAGGAAATCCACACATTGGTAGTGACTTTTAAATTTAGGTTTGTTCTCTGAGGTGGGGGGAGCAAGGGGTCCCCGTGGTGGTGGCTTTCATGACCACACACCAAAGTCTTTCATAAACGTCATATGACTACAGGCAACAACCTATGGACTTTGGGAAGTCAGTCGAGGACACGGATTAACGAGCCTCTTCCCTTCTGACGGGTCAGCACCTGCAGCCCAGGAGGAGGAGGAACCTCCAGCCTTTAAATGGAAGTGAGTTGACCCCTCCTAGCTCAAACACTAAAATCACAGTTGTAGGCCGGTAAATACCCAAGAGCAATAAAATGTCTGTCGACAGGAGGCGCCAGGGCAAGGGGCAAACGCCGGCGACCCCATGCGGACCCCCCTCGAGTGAGCCGCACTCACCTGCGGCGAGACCCCAGGTGGAGGAGGAGAGTCCTCTCCCGGCAGTCCCGGGGACGCACACGCTCACCGCGCGCTCAGCCGCGGGGACAGCGAAGGGACCGCCTGGGCGCGGCCGCCCCCTCCTCTCGCCCCGAATGACCCCAGCATCCAGGAGACGGGGGAGCGTGGGGAACCGCGCCCTCCCTCTCCCGGGGGCGTGGGAGCCGCGCGGCGGCCGCTCAGCTGGTGCCTGTGCCACCTGCCCGCAGCGGGACTCCCAGGTGAGGCGCGGCCAGGTAACCGCACCTGCCCTGC